GATCTATTCTCCATAAGTCGTGAGCATTTTTCTGCAAGAATATTACCTGCATTTAATGCCATGTCAAGCCATCTCTCGATTTTAATAGCTGCTCTTCAAGCTTTACGCACTTTTTTTTAAGTCCTCCTCACTAGTTGGGTTAGAGGAGTTGGTAGATGCTTGGTCTTGCTTCTCTTTGGGCGGATCTTCAACTTCTGGAGCTTTGCTAAAAGTTGGGATAATGTAAGCTTTTCCATGTAACTTCATTCGGAATTGATTTTTATTTGGGTCAAGGATACCTTGAACTTTCCTAATCCATGTCATACCTAAACATAGCATTGGTTCGGATTCTCCATTATCAATACGAATAAAATTTCCAGTAGCTGTGACAGTTTTACCATCCTTATCCTTTATACTGATTGGTACATCCGTAAACCACCCCAATGACTCGGTAATGTGTTTGGAGTTTTCTTTTATTGCAAAGTCCGATGGCTTATCAGCTTTCCACTCAAGGGCATTAATTGTTGCATCATTTACGCCTCCGAACTCACTTGCACTATCTAAAAAAGAATTGGAGATCGCTAAATCATCTATTTTAGCATTCAGGTATTGTAATGATGAAAACCACTCATCTGATTCTTTTTTCTGAACTGTATGAGACCGACACATTTTTCGCATATCTGGTGAAAGCTTTGGCAAAAGCTCGTCATATGTTTCAGGCTGGCTAGATTCTATAGATGAGATTGCATTAATATCACCAGCCAACTTTTCATTTACTGGTACCTGTTTTTTTTTTCCGGTGCATAATACTAATCATTATCTACTTTGTCATAACCATCCCCATCATTTTCCTCACCATCTGAATCAGGAGGAACTATTGGTTTAAGAGGTGTCCAATTTGACCTAGTGAAATTAGATTGAGCTATCGGTCTTTTTGGACAACTTCATTTGCTATGACCAGTTTCCCCACAAATTTCACATTTTTGTATATATGCTTTTTTCTGAAATAGATCAGCTAACTGATTTACACTATTCCGAGTTTCTTCAAGTCCTTCCTCAAGCCTATCAAATCTAGCAGAATTATTGTTTCGTTGAGGACGAGATCTTTGAAAATTTTTTACAGGATAATCTGAATCTAAATCTTCCTTATTAAGTAAACCTACTTCTTTTAAGTATTCGGCTACATAATAATTCTTAAGGCCTTCCTCTGTTTTCAATGAAGTTGGTGGGCCTTTCGGCTGTCTAACCGGTCCAACAGTTTGCGGGATAGATACTTGTGCTTGTTGTTGTGTCATTTGAGATTCTAATTCAGTAATTTTCTTTACTAATACTTGGTTTTCGGTTTTTTGCTGTGCCTGTGCTTCTTGAATTATTTTTTGTATATCTGCCAAGGAAATCCCTTGCTGTTGAGGAGCAATATTAGAATTAATAGGAGGAGTTGGTGTATAATTAAGATACGATGGTGGCGGACCTAAAACCCCTCGGCGTAATTCAAGTTCTGCCAAATTATCAAGAATATCATTAATAGGCCTATGTTGACCAATCCTATATACTTCCTCCCTAATATCTTCTCTAACCCCTGATAGGAAATAGGTTTTTTTCTGTGCATCAGTATAACCTAATTGGTCTCCATACTTTTGAATTTTCGCCCAGAAAGATGCTACACTTTCATGTGCACCTTGCTTTAAAGATCCAATTTCTAACATTCTTACATATCTATTGGCAGTTGGATAATGTTTTTTAATTCGAAATAACCTTTGTCCAGCCCGAATTCCTGCAAGAATAACAGGAATACCACCTCCAGCATTTACTGCAACTGGTACTGCATTAGTTGGTCGTCCTCCTGCTATTGACCAATCTTCTAAAAGACCTCGTGCTGGAATAATATCCGCACCTGCAAGGCCTGCTGGAACATTTGGAAAAGAATTGGCCGCCCCTGTTATAGCCCCTGCATTGGCAGCACGAATGGTCCCAATATTAGCACCTATAGCTGAATTATCAAGTACATTTTGTAACTCCCAGTTTTTGTTATCAAACTCTCTATGATACCATTGTCGCGCTTCTCCTTTTACAGCCCGATCTAATATATTTACAATCCGGGCATTATCATTTATATTTGCTAAATTGATATATTCCACAAATTGGTCTACAAAGTCTTCATGATCTTGTTCACCGCCATGGAATTCAGGTAATACAAATCCAGCTGGTAAAGCCATATTTATTTGATTTGGTGGGTTATTCTGTAGCGCTAAAATTTGTGCCTGCAAAATTAAAATATTCTGACGTTCTGCCTGAGTCTTATTTTTCCATTTCTCATATCGCTCATATCGCCTATCTCGATTATATTCTAACAGACCTATATCTCCTCTGCTTCGCTGTAGGTGGTGGGCATTTCGCTGATAGAGTAACTGTAAGGCAAATTTTTCTTGTATCAGCTCACCTATACGGTTTTGCTTTCTTGTCATCCTATCTAACATTCTGTTAACCTGATTTCGGCCATTAGTTCGCAACTGATAAAGGTCAGCAATAACTAGTTGTTCCACTCCTTCAGCATTTTGTCTTCGTATAATTTCATTATCACGCTCAGCCTCAGCATCATATCGCCTTCTCTGCTCACGAACTAAATCCTGATGCAAATTTTGATCTTTTCGGCGAATCTGCCTTGTAGCTCTTTTTATTTGGTCTGACATAATTACCCTATCTGCTGTATTATCTAGAAACCGTCTATAGCATTTGCTAGCTCTGTGATGGTAGCCATATTATCATCAGAATTATACAAGTCTGGAGAATTCTCTCGTTCAGGTGTATTTTTTCGTGATGAGATGGCCCTAATCCGGCATCGTAGTCTATCAACTTGCTCTTCAGATTCTTCCAACCGCTTTTCCAGATCATCAAATTTACCTTCGGATTTTCTACTTCATTTAACACATTTTCAACTAAACACAGGCTAATATTACTTTTTGGCATTTCAAACTCTCCTATCAAATACATTCTGTATACAGCATCATACGAAAGGTCCATAGCATATATATGGACATTATATCCTGCCAAAAGAATGCTAAACTGATTAGATAAATCATTCAGAAAAAAAAAATCCGGAAAGCTACATACCAAATGCATGGATTCCAAATACAGTCATGTCTAATTCAAGACATTTCTCCTTATACATGTTATCTAGCGAGTCTTTCATTAATACTCCTAAATCCACTAAATCAACATTTGCGAAATGAGAGCTACTTTTGTAGAGACAATTCCAAATCCTGATCGTTACCAATGGTAACGGTTTTTTTGTCACATGATAATTTTGAATTATTAATGGTTTCTATATCGTCAGAAGTAACGTCCTGGACTTGATTTTTAGCTGACTCACGTAGAAATTTCTTTTCCTTATTGCGTTGCTTTATTTCACTACTAACGATTTTCTTATGAGCCTCAAGCAAGAAACTATCCATCTCTTTCTCCTCTAACGGTTTTTCATGATGGACCGCACCCGAATTAAAGTTAGATAAGATGTTATTAAGGAGTATTATCATTTTGCAACTGTTTTTCTTCCAATTTCTCAATTCTAGCATCACGTCGGTTATTCTCTTCTATCATCTGCTTCATAAGCTCCGCATTTCTGGCCTCAATCTCGACATTCCTGGCTTCAACCTCAGCAAGCTTCTTTCTAAGTTCAGGAATCTCGGCAAGTTTCTTCGGTCTCAAGTTCGACATTCCTAGCTTCAAGCTCAGTAATGCGTTGCTTTAATAAATCTATTTCGGATTGCATGTCCTATAATATTTTTATGTTCTATATGTTAGTATTCAAAATCAGAAAAAAAATGTAGGTTATTTCTGCTGATCATATCCTAGGGATACGGTTTTGCCAAGAAAAAATTTTTGATTAATACATGCGAAAAATAAATATAAATGTTCGGGACTTTGCCCGTGATACATGACGAAGTTACATTTCTATTCTAAGTCCTATCTGTCCCTAAATTCTAATTCGATTTTCCTGTGAGGTTGCTCAATGACTTTACCCACTTTGCGAAGCTTCCACCGGCTTCTGTGCCTCCTCCAATATGCCCGAGGACCTTTTCTACCTTAGCTTGCAAATTCTCATCTTTGTACACAACGGTCACTGATTCCGATAGCTTAAACGCTAGCTTCCCCTCATTATCTAGCGAACATTCCATAAAATACCATTCGGATGCATCGGTAACAATCCCAAATACCCTATCTACATCCTGTCCATTATCGATTTCATCTGCCTTGCGTTTACGTGACAAAATTGACTCCATCTGCACGGACGCCTGGGCAAATCCCTTCATAAAATCTTCCTTCTTAACTTCGATTACACCAAGGACTCTACCCGTCGAACGACACTCTACTGCATAATCGAGGTTACCTTGTCCATTTCGACCCTCGATAAGTTTTTCCGGTATGAGCTTGAAATTATCTTTGTAGAGCGAGACCCCGAATGCGAGGTAGCAGTAATAATAGATACTTTTCGTTGCCTCATTTGCCTTGTTGAGAGGAGTAACATCTTGACGAAGTTTTATTTCCGCCATTAGGTGCTTAATCACGGCTTTGGACTTATCACTATTTAGGTCTGCAGAACCACATGAAAAGGGAGGGAACACGTCAATGTCGGGATTCGGGTCATTGCTAATACCATAAAGCTGGCACACTTTTGGAAACGACCAATCTGAGAAAGGTTTTGATGGCGTCTCGATGAATACAGTAAACTTGAGTTTTTTATTTGACACGAATATGCGGAGGATTTCACAAAGGTCTTGATCGTTCCGAGGTGAATATTTATCTCCATCATTCATTAAGTTGAGTTCCGCCCCATCATTTTCAAGTGCGGGTGGTTGATACATCTTGCCTATATATTCCTTGAGGCCTTCGAGAGTCGCATGTTCGATATTTGCAGTCCACTTATTTGGCTTCCGTTTCGGGTGAACAACGACGTCGAAGTCTACAATGTAGCGGTCAGTTAGAAAATTCTCACGAAGTCTCTCTTCCGACTATTTTATACATACCATGTGTGGACTTGTTGAGTAATGCCTGCAACGAAGCGACTTGGTCAATACCTCTTGGCTCGAAGTGGTGGTGGACTCTGGTGGTTCGACTAAGACATGAATACATTCTTCGGGAGGTGAGTCTGGAAATTTTTCTTATTGCCAACAGCTCGTCACTATCCTCGAGTGAAAGATTCCGCAACTGATCGTCGTGATCGTCAGAGATTGGCACTTTCCATAGCTTAAGTTCTTCAGCCTCTACATCATGAAATGTTTTATGTTTTTTCGCCTTTATAGCCTCCTTGAGGTCACCAATAAGACTATTTCCATATATATGAATAGGGAAAGCGTTTGCGGTCTTATTTCCTTTAACGAGGCAAAGTATTGTGATAGGCATGTTTTCGGCTTATATAGTATTTTTTGCGAAATGTTATTGGCAGACTGCCGTATTTACATGATCCGCATAATAGGTACAACGATCACCTAATCACTGCGCCTCCCTAACCGTGAAGACTCTTCTCACTTATCACCTGACGTTTTTATATAGGCTAGATGCTGTTCGGATAAAAAATATTAGATTTATGCGAAGCGCCTTTACGGCTAGTCCATGGTCCGCACCATTACACGTGACCCATTCTTATATACGTTCGATAAAATAATACTTTATTTATGAAATAAAAAAACGTTACCGAAACCCGGCCTACAATACATAAAATTGGCCTATGCACGACTATACTTCGTGGCTAAGGCCTATCGCTATTACATGATGTTTTAAATAAATATATAAATATGAATTTTATCATTAGGGGGTTGTTCGGAGAAATGCTTAGAAATCAAATCATGTGGAGGCATTCCTGTTTCATTTAGACGTTTCCCACGAGAATATACTTCAATTTGTTTTTCAAATGATGTAACTCCCTCGGTATCATTGATCTTCCAGAGTAAAATGCTAGCAGGAGGAACCTTTTCAAATAAATGTGGCCACCTTTCTTTAATCATAATCCTTAACTGATCAACTGTTTCGCCGGTAGAGATTTTAAGCGTAGTAATACTTCTGATAATTTTGATCTATCAGCTACCTCGTAAGGTAAAAGAAGACAATTGAGAGTAATAATAGACATCTTGCTTTTCTAAATACAAGACCCATAGTAAGAAAAAACTCGCTCTCATACATATACAACTTCTGGCATATATATAAGAGAAAAAAATAATGTTTCTAGTTGAAGACAGAGTAGAATTAAAAGAATTGGACAAATATATAGTCAGGATTATAAAAGAGACTACAGAAACAGGTCAGAACATGCTAAACTTTTGCATAAAACTAATATGAAATGATCAGATATTGAAAATGTCAAATTTAAAATGTTGTCAGAAAAGAATAGATAAAAAAGTCAGAAAGTGGATAATGAAGATGCAAAAAAAGGTTTGCAATCAATTTCAAAAGAAGATTTGGAATAAAAGGTGCTCAAAAATAATCAAATGGAAACAAGTTCAAGGGATCTATAAAGAAGACAAAATAAGAAGATCAGCCAGTCTATTAAATCAGAATAACAAGACCATAATTATAAAAAGGTCCTTACAAGAAGAAAAAAAACTTGAAGATAAAAGTTTGAAACAAACCTTCCTAGAAAGAGTAAAGTATGGAATAAGATGATTAAGGTTTTAACTTCTGTTAGAACTCATAAAAAGGATTTGCAGTAGTGATCTGTAGGCAATGAAATTAGTAGTTGAAAGGAGTTTCATCTGAGCTACTAATGGGGTGATAAATTACTCCCAAAGTTGTACTTAAAGTGATAATAATCAAGATGAGTGAGTTAATTAGTAATTTAGTTTTAGTAATTCATTTTTTTTTTTTTTTAAACTGCAACTAGTTTTAAATACAAGCTGTTTATTGATAATTAAATCTTAAGTATTAAATCAATTATCTCTCATATATATATATGTAGATTAATGATAACCTATCACAGTTTGTCCTAGGCAGACCTGCTTAAGACCACTCAAGTAAGAGGGCACACCTGACTAGAGGTTGGATGGTTAATACATAATCATTAATGACATTGTTAGTATAGTTGGTCTAGAACTATATATTAGTTTTTATCATTATTATACTATATATGCTAGCTTATATGCTTGGTGTCAAATCCTCAAGGATTATTTAATCACCCAGATACCTTGATACTTTTCACTTGAACCTCAGAAGGGATTCCTATTCTCTTTGTCACCACCTGTGGTATTATAGACAAGTTCTGCTTGACAAGTTTTTCATTTAAGCAAGCATTAGATTGGGATATTCCAAGCTAGGATGGTCAAGTTCTAGAGTCTGCTGATATAGTTTGGGGTAAGAAGTGTTCAAATAATCATTACAATTCTGAAAGTGTAGTCCCAGAGTCTGCTAGTACAGTTTGGAGTCAGTGATGTGTTCAGATGATTACCACAATTCTAAAAGCAAGGTCCTAGGATTTGATTCCTATCCAATTTAGGGGATTAGATTAGGTGTAATTTATGTAACTAGATCAGATGCTTTTCTTCATGCAATCCTCACAATAGATCCTTTTTAGCCCAATGATCAACAGAAAGGTCAGAAGTCCTATTTTCGTACAACCTGATTATTTTTTTCTTATATGATCCTTGTATGATATTGAACTCTGGACCTTGTGATTACGACCTGGAAGCATCACCACTATGCTATAGACCCACAGGTCTAATTTTAGTAATTCATTTTACATATATAATATATTAATATTTAATAAAGCATATATAATTAGCCTAACAGAGAGTAAAAAAAAAAAAAAAAAAAAAATTATTAACTATTTTAATAAAGATATAAAAATTTTTTAAAGTTTTTAAAAAAAATTTTTTTTTTTAAACCTATAGTCAGACCAATATTGTATGTTTATTAATTATTAAGAAAACTGATAAAGATACATAGGATAATTGCATCATAACTAAACTAAAAGACTTGTACTGATACACTCATTAATGACTTTCAATTCTCAAAAAAGCTTTAACCTCTAAATA